TATTTCGATAAATACTTAAGGATTTCTCCCTATGTTATACATATGTATATGTGACGTGATATTTTTGTACAAAATGAATATTTTTTTTACTGTGTACAAAGACTTATAAATACACTTGTATGATTCATTCATTTTTTTTTCAAACGTGCGGAAAAATTAGATGTTAAAAATCGAATTAAGTCGAGGCCACTTTGTGTGTTTGTGTGTGTGTGTGCGTGTGTGTTTTCAAAATAAATAAATAAATAAATAAATAAATAAAAATAAATATATAAAATAGAAGGGAGGTTGGGTGGACTTTTGAAGGCAAGGCTTTTACCGGTAGTTTTTCATTTACTTGTTTCATATTATTAACACATAACAAAAAATTACAAATGTATTTTTACTTGAAAAAAAGAAGAAGAATGAATTTGAATAAATTTCAGATATCGACATAAAAAGAACATGAAATCTGCAATTCATTTTTTTTTTTTTTGGAATGACTCATTGCAGTATATATATTGCTTCTTTGTGTTGTGTATGATTAGCGGTCGAAATTGGCTCGCGAATTATCAAAATATATATTGATAAACCGCTGGTCATGGGGAATTTTTGGTGAATGAGTAAGTGTTTGAGAGAGAGAGAGAGAGAGAGAGAGAGAGAGAGAGAGAGAGAGAGAGATGCAGTTTAGAGTAATCACTGCTTGAAAAAACACCTTTACAAAACTTTACTTGCAAAGTAAATCTCATTAAAGGTGCTCCAAAAAGCAAGGTCATCTTTGTATTAACTTTACAAAGAGTAAAGCTGAAATGGTAACCTTTACTTAAACGAAAAGGTAATTAAATTTAACCTTTCACCTTTAATGCTGCATTAAAGTTGATATAATATATATATATATATATATATATATATATATATATATATATATATATATATATATATATATATATATATATATATATATATATATATATATTTAAATCCTTATTTAAATACAGGCTTTTTTGTTTAATACACTCTACTTAAGATTTCAACAAATGGTTTTTGACTTTTAAAATAAATAGGTATCTGATGTGTCTATTGTGATACCCCCAGGCCATTTTTGTTGAACTCGATCTTACTAAAAATACACAAATTTTCAAGCATTATATCAATCCAGTTGTATTTAGTATTAGAGATTGTCATCTACAAAATATAAAAATTTATACTATTTTTGTATACTGTAGATGGGCAATCAAAAATGTAAAAATGGTATCAGATATCAGAATATAGATATAATTAACTTTAAAATTCCCTATGACTTAACCTTTAACTTATCTGATTTGCTGATATCTGATAGATGGAGAACTCTTTTTTTTTTTGCTTTTAGTGTAGATACATTGAAACCTTTTCTGTTATAATTTCTGCTTCATAAATATCTACCAAAAACAGTTACAAACATTACAAGATTACATCTTGTACTTGAACAGGCAATAAAATGACAAAGAATAAAATTAAAAAGGTTAAAATACAATACAATATTATTTATCCTTTATGGTGGATGTACATGTGTTAAAACTTTGCAGTTTATATGGAACTAAAAATGCCATACTCGGTTATTACTCAAGATCACTGACGAGAAACTACACAACATAAATCAGGCAAAGTACTAGTATTTCCAACTTAAACTATTAAAGGCTATCTAATGAGTATTTATGTACAGGTTAATAATGTTGACATCTTGTAAGCATAATGGTGCAATTTACATATTCACAAAATAAACAAAATTGCTTAAACACCTATTAGAATATAGGTTCAGATGTAGTTCTGCAAGATGCATAAGTAAATGCATGTGTCCAGCTTCACGCAGTGAGCCTGTTTGAGCTTGACTTTATACTTTTTACTAAATGTTACGTGTATTGTGTCTGTGGTAGGAGATTATGTTTACATACATGTTCATCTTCACACGCCTTGGAAAATATGTAACTGGTTGTGGTAGATGCTTGAGTGTTTGCATATGTGTCCAGCTTCACACATTTTCATGTATGTGCTCGACTTCACACGCCTTGGAAAATATGTAACTGGTGTTGTGGAAGATGTTGTATGTTTGCATATGTGTCCAGCTTCACACATTTTCATGTATGTGCTCGACTTCACACGCCTTGGAAAATATGTAATTGGTTGTGATAGATGCTTGTGTGTTTGCATATGTGTCCAGCTTCACACATTTTCATGTATGTGCTCGACTTCACATGCCTTGGAAAATATGTAATTGGTTGTGATAGATGCTTGTGTGTTTGCATATGTGTCCAGCTTCACACATTTTCATGTATGTGCTCGACTTCACACGCCTTGGAAAATATGTAATTGGTTGTGATAGATGCTTGTGTGTTTGCATATGTGTCCAGCTTCACACATTTTCATGTATGTGCTCGACTTCACATGCCTTGGAAAATATGTAATTGGTTGTGATAGATGCTTGTGTGTTTGCATATGTGTCCAGCTTCACACATTTTCATGTATGTGCTCGACTTCACACGCCTTGGAAAATATGTAATTGGTTGTGATAGATGCTTGTGTGTTTGCATATGTGTCCAGCTTCACACATTTTCATGTATGTGCTCGACTTCACACGCCTTGGAAAATATGTAATTGGTTGTGATAGATGCTTGTGTGTTTGCATATGTGTCCAGCTTCACACATTTTCATGTATGTGCTCGACTTCACATGCCCTGGAAAATATGTAATTGGTTGTGATAGATGCTTGTGTGTTTGCATATGTGTCCAGCTTCACACATTTTCATGTATGTGCTCGACTTCACACGCCCTGGAAAATATGTAACTGTGGTTGTGGTAAATGCTGGAGTGTATGCATACGTGTCATGCTTCGCACAGATAGAAAAGTTTTGTGTGCTCTTTTCTAGAAGATAATGATTATTTAAATATACTCCGAATACATCCCCTAAAGAAATGGATAATCATAATGAGTTTCATACCAAGTTCCTCAGTGCACAATATACACAATTTTACTGAAAATTAAACTTGTGCAAAAACTCTCTTGCTGAATAACTTTCATTATTATAAATGCTTGAATGTTCATCTGTATATTTTCAGATATTTTCTAGTCAGTGTATATATTCTTGATCACGATGGCATCCACATTTGATTCCCCTCTCTGTCATCTTTTCTTGGTCACCAATTAATTCAACAGTAGGCTGGGTACTCAGATCTCTCAGGTGTTGGACAAAAGGAGTGCTAATAATAAACATAATCTTCGAAATTATAGAGAATAACATCCATTTCTTTTCCAGGTTTGGATTAATTAGTTATCTTTTGAAATTAAAGCACTTCTGCAATAACCTTGAAAACTTGCCAAGACACTTTAAATGTTTGTAGTGTGCTTTAACTACTTTAATTTTATTTTTGGAAGTTTAGAATAATAGAAAAACAAGTTCAAATATAAAAATAAAATGTAAAAGATCTTAATAATGAAGATTCATTTACACAATGTGATAACACATTGAAGTCATTTCCTCACCTGACTTGCTCATAATTTATCTTCATAATGGAGTTGATTCTATGATGATCACTTTCAATCATTTAAAAGAACTTCTTCATCTCAAACTATCTGAAGGTCATCCATCTTCCCAACTGCCACTCACCCAAAGTGTACCGAGACTTCTGACCTGTATAATATCCAAATTCAAAATTAAAATTTAAAAAATCTCTTCACCATACTGGTCTCTTTAAAAAATGTGAGAAAATAATTTAAATACTTTTCTGAAGATGGAATAATGTAGTGAGTATCTAACAATGTTTAAAAATATTTTGATCTCTGTACAGTGATAATGTATGAAAAGGTCATGTCCCTTGTATTTGATAAAAAATTCCATTCTTAAGGACATTACCCAATATGGAAATAATGTACATTTGTCTCTGGCACAACCAAACCACAAGAGACCTTTCCATATTTAGCACCATGCATTAGCTCTTCACTCTTTGTTTCTACAAAAGATAAATTTAAAATTTTGAAAAGGTAATTTTTTTTTTTGACAGCTAAGTCGGATTAATTATTTTCTAGTCAGTGATGAACAGAATATTTGATTTCCTTAATAATCAGGGACAGATTATTCATGTTTATCTTAAATGAACAAAGTTTGACTCCCCCCCCCCCCCCCCAATCACCACTACAAAAGGAAAAAATAAACTGACTCAGAAACTCTTATTTCAGTTAGGTAAAGGGAATAATGGCATCAGACAAGGAAAGATTATTAATCACTTTTTTCAGTTGAGATGAGATTATATCTTTTAAACATTTTTGAGGTTAATATATTTTTACCCCCCCCCCCCCCCCCGCATCAAACAAAAAAAAATTCGCCCTTTTATTTAGCTGTCCTAAATCTATAACAAAATTTTTATTATGATTTTTTCCATTTTAATTTATTCTATCCTGATACTGATACCACCACTATATAGTAGATGCAACAAATTAAGAGGTGACCCCTCTTCTTCCCTCCCTCCCTAGATGTTTCGTCTAAATGTTAAACGACATTGTTCAAAATCTTGAAAGACAGAAACAGTTATACACAACAAATAAGCACATTTTCATTACCTTGCAGTCAGTGTCGAGTGATACACGTAAACAACATCCCGCAATCTCTTTGTTTATTCTTGGCGGAATTTTGTTGCCTTGTAGACTGGTTCCCATACATTGCAAATGCCCTGAATAAGTCATACGCTTATTAGTTTTGTTTATAAGAGGTAATATCAGTAATATGTCCCGTTCATTTGACAACCTTTACTTTAAAATACTGAAATATATTTTATCATATATGCAGATGTTTTCCACCTCAGTATTGTGTAATCCTCTTCATCCAAGTCTTCCCGAATTCAAAACGAACGATCTACTTTTAACAGTAACCCAAATATGGCACTGTGTATTCGAATGAATAGCCAATCATTTCAAATCTAGTTGAGCGGGTCTCATCGGTATTTTCTGGTATTTTTGACGAAAATATGCAACCAGTGATCAGTTGAATTGATACCTTTTCATCTATACCAGAAGATTAAAGGAGGTTATTGCTTGGAAAACTGCTCGAGCTCTCGGGCTGGCATGCACTGCAGGTTTGTTTACGTTTTCCATTTGTTTTCAGCATACATTGTGAAACATTGAAACTGATGAAAGTAAGGAAAAACTACTCTGGATATGTGTTTTAGATAAGTAACTTGATAAATTGGGATAATGTTCCATTTTCTTCTGTAAATGATCATGGATTAAACAAGACCAAAAAAAAACCAATTCTAGGTCACAGTTTCAGAATGTTTAGCTGTTTACATTAGTGCTAGAAAAAAAAATGTAGAAGCCAGGGTAGGGGCAATGTTCTTAATAGAGGACAAGTTAGGTTATATTTTATAGATATTATTTTGTATTCTAAACCATGTCCATTTTTCAAAAACAGGTACAGTGAAATCAATTATGCAGGTTCTTGAAGAAAGTCATGGATGACAACAATGTATGATTTACCAGACCAAGGGATCCCAATGTTTTTTTGACGGTACTTGTACATATTAGTTTTTTAAAAAATCAATAAATAGTATCATAAAAATGTTACTTAAACAATTATTTACATTATCAATTGCTTGACTTGTTTGGGAGTCAGTATAATTTTACATTTCTGTTTCCAAAAAATGTGTTATTACTTTTTCCAGGCTCCAGCTACTCAGCTTACTGTGAGAGAGTTAACACCTTATTGACATATCTTTCATGAAGAAGAAACACTTGAGAAGAGTTCAAGAGTTAAATTTTATAGATGGTAAGTGTTGCTTAGACCCAAATTATTCTTTAATTGTGAAGAAAACAAACATAAGGGTGTTCGGCAATTCATAACTATTAACTGTGATTGCATTGTGTATTTTTAAAATCATTCTTTGGTATGCTTCAAACTCAAAAGTATTTATGAAAACATTGACTATATTTATCCATGAAATGTTTATCAAAGTATAAATTCCATTTTAGCATGTTATCTTCAAAATGAGGACCTGTCAACTTTTACAATTCCAAGATCAGGAAATAATTCATGAGCAGCAACATGCTACTGGAAGAAAGGTACATATATATATCCTAAACCATAACTTGAATATCATACTATAGCTCTATAAGTAGCAACTATTGGTCTTTTTGTTACCTGATGACTAAGAAGTAAAATGGAGTTAATTATATGTGTTCAGTAATTATCCATAGATACTGATGCCAGTACTTTTTCACAAATTATCTTGCAAATAAGACAAACATTTTCCAATTCTGCAAAAGTATCTTAGCTACAGAAGGTCCCGAGAAATCTTATATTACTCCTACATTAGTATATTTTGTAAATAATCCTTTCAAAAGAAAATTAGGTAATGATAAACAAAGAAATTACAGAGTTATTAAATTTTAATCTTAGGGGTAAGATAAGGGCTAGTGGCACAGTCCATTTAATATATCATAAAATAAGTTAATAGCAACATGTTCATCTGTTTGTATCTGTCTTCTTTAATAAGATTAACATTGTCTTTTTGGTAAAAATAAAGGCTGACATTAATGGTTCAAAATATGTTCTTTTTGAGGTTAAATGTCATGTATGAAATTTTTATCTACATGTATTGATATGGTTGCATCTTGTTTCAATTTTCATTAGTCATGATACTGTGAATACTGATATCACAGTTTATTTGAATTTATAACACAGATGCCTATGAAAATATTCATATTCATGTCACTGAAAATATATATTTTTTTCTTCTTTTAAGGAAAACAATAGAAGACTGCCTGCATGAGAATAAAAGTTTTGGACTCTGAAAAGGAATCTATATGTAACAAAATATACATTTGGACAGTTGTTGATTTCCACAGAAACACATGTCGAGTAACAAGAAAGTGGAGCACAGTTTCATGTCAATTCAAATCTTTAAATTCAAGGATGAACAATTGGTTCTTTATAAAACAAAATGACATGTTTGAAAAGGATTTTGGTGAAATGTACTCTGTCCTGGATACTTATATTATTTATGTGTATGGGATTATATTTGCAAGATAGACTATGAACAACAGATACTGTCAAGAAAGTTGATGTTTTTGATTATATGTTTGTATAAAAATGTTTGGTATAGTAATAAACAAAGTTAAAGTCAATCTGTTGTTACTTTGTGTATTAAGTATGATGTCCAGACTTCTTTTGCAGTTTCAATTTGGAAGGAAAAGCTTATTTATCATGTGCACAAGCTTTATTCAAAAGAATGGAAAACAGTAATTAACTTTTGTGGCTATTAAAGATGTTATTTAATTAAATTTAATATTTGTAATTATCAGATTTAATGTACCCCAAATACTGTGTTTAATGTTTGTAAATATTAACTTTACTTTTTTGTAAAGTCAAGACAATGTGGGACATTACATCATATTTAAGTGCATGTAAAGTTAATGTAAAGGTTACCTTTTCCAACTTTGACTTTTTTCAGAAAAGCCAATTAAAGGCATTGTAAATAATAAATTTACATTATCTTTACTTGTTTTGTAAAGCCAAATTTTCATGCAGTGAATTAAGAGAATACATGTATATTATAAGATTAAAGTAATTTCAAAAATATAATGACAGTGTATGTTGCTTTCTTCCTTTTTTTATGTCTGTTTGCTTTGTTTTTGCTTTTGTTTTGTTTGTTTGTTTGTTTGTTTGTCGGTTTTGTTTGTTTTGTTGTTTTTATTAAAGAGAAAAACAATTTCCATTTTTAGTATAAATGCTTAATGAACAAGAATCCAGACTATTGCTCTCCGTTGCAACATAACAAATTAAGAAAGTAAATGGCAAATGTGGGGGTTCCTTGGAATGAACACACAGTATAACATTTATTGCATTCTCTCATAATTCCGCAATACGCTTACCAGCGATTGTGAAATATTACAATGTGTACTATACTCCTGGAAGTCAGACATTGAACCTTGTCTGAATACATTACTGGCTTGCTAATGCCGCATACTTATGTTAATTATACAGCTGTCTGTCTGGTACGGAGAAGAATTAAGCAATGCCGGATCATTGCAAAAATGATTTAGATCATCCGAAAATAACCAAATTAATACAGACAGGAAATGTAATGCCAATGTTTCGATGAATGTCGGATATATTATTCTTATATGCGAGGATAATTCACATATATGCATTTGAATAAATGTTAAAATTCATTTGATGGCAATACTTTGACATGCATACATGACGCACTTTTTAGTTCGTCTAGAGAATGATTGCAAAAATTACATACATGTACTTAATAGTTCTTTTAATTCGAGCAATTTAAGCATTGGAAAATCTCTCTCTCTCTCTCTCTCTCTCTCTCTCTCTCTCTCAAACTGTTAATGAGAGCGAGAGTGGGTGAACAATTTGTGGCAGAACATATATTATTAATTTTGGCTGCAAATCAACATTTCGTCAACTGCGTCTCAGGTATATAATTGTATCAGGTTTGAACCGCCCTTTGATGACATAATGGTTCAGCATAATGACGTCTTTATTATTATTTGCCCACCGACATGATACATTTTCCATGTCTCTTCCATCTGATAAAAGATTTCATACTGCATGGAACAAATCCAAGGTTTGCTCTTTTGGCGTCCTATCTTACATGGTTCTGGAATACGTTGATCAAGTGATCTTACACGTCGCCCTTAATTTTCTTGCATATGAACTTTACCTTGAAGATTGAGTGACATGCAGTGATCAGTTTTTGTCTTTTTTTAACCAGATCAAAATTCTCTCACAAGGCAGCAAGAATAAATCCGCAGACAATAAAGTTAATGCCATGTTGACAATAAATAAAATAAAATACTTAAAAAAAATGACATAAAATAAATAAACAAATAAATAAATAAATAAATAAATAAATAAATAAATAAATAAATAAATAAATAAATAAATAAATAAATAAATAAATAAATAAATCAAAATAAAATAAAATAAAATAAAATAAAATGAATAAATAAATAAATGAATGAATGAATAAATAAATAAATAAATAAATAAATAAATAAATAAATAAATAAATAAATAAATAAATAAGGTTTCTTTTCTTTGATAGTTGCTGGTTTCAGTGAATTATTTTTTGATAGTTTATTGTCCCTTTCCATGAACAGCAACTCGATTAACGTTTAAAACATTAAAGCCTGTAAGAGTTACCTCGCGAGTTTAGGTCAAATGCTTAAACATTTGGAAAATTTTTATTTATTTATTTTTAAGCTAAAAGGGCGCTAAAGATTGCTATAAATGGAATAAGTGTCTTTTTTACATAGATGAATTTCCGATGTATATGACTCTTCACATTCTGCAAATGTTATTTTTAAAAATAAAACGATTTTTAAATCGGGATCGAAATACGAACACTTCCATTCGGGTATTTTCGTTTGTTTCCGTTGAGTTTATGACCTCATTTTCGGCATATTTCCCGCGAAAATAGTCACGTTGGTAGGACTTCATTGTTTTGGTAGGAAAAGCTACGGAAAGACTAATCATGGCAGTAAGTATATATTTAGCCAGGAGAAATTCAAATTATCAAAACATCCTAATGTATTTGTGTAACTGATTGCAAGATCCATCTTATTAGAAAATCATAAAATCGTTTAATCTGCATCCAAGTGGATTTGTGTGTTCTACTGATGATGGCAGTTCATATGAGAGATAATTTGCTTATTGGATAATTAGAGAAGATGGTAGTAAGCTGAAATTGCAGTTAGAGTATGTGAAATAAAAAGAGGTCTTGCATGAAATGTGTACAGGGATTATTGGGTGTGTCGCAGGCAGTGTAACTGGCATATGCAACAATGTAACTATTCAGACTGTATGAGCATGTGCCCAAGGGCAAGTGGAAACTATATATGCACCTTTGCACTAATGATGTGCTCGTAACTATACGATTGAAGGGTTATTATGGCAAATAAAAAAATAAAACAACGCATTTTATAGTGTGAATAAGGATAAACAAATGTTCATGTTTGACAGGAAGACACTTCCTCTGACCCATTTTCTACTGCAACCAGTCCCTCCAGAGGATCAAGGGGGCGTCGCACAGACCCCTTGACTTCAAGTCCCGGAAGGGATCTTCCTCCATTTGAAGATGACTCTGAATTGATGGGAAACAATGCAGGGGATGAAGAGGAAGAAGACGGAGAGGAACTGTTTGGTGATAATTTGGAACAGTAAGGACATTTTAGTGTAGATCAATTATTTTGTTAAAAAGCTATGAATTATAATCTTTCAGGTCTTGAGATAATTGTGTCCATTTTATAGGGATTACCGAGCCATCCCAGCGCTGGATAGATTTGACCAGGAGGGTTTGGACGATGAAGAAGACTACTCCGAGTTGTCCGAGGGTCAGCGACAGGCTGCCGAGAGAGAGATGCGACAGAGGGATAGAGAGGAGGGAATTCTAACGGGGCGCATGAGGAGGGGGCTCATGTATGGTAAGCTCTTCTGCTTTTAGAAAGTTTTAAAATATTCTAACAGAAATTAAAGTTTCGTTACTGCTGAATTGTAGCATACAACAGAAATTAAAGTTTCATTACTGCTGAATTGTAGCATACAAATGTTGTATGCAATGGAAGAATTAGATTTTTTATGCAGAAATTACTGGAATAAATTGTGTGTTAGAAATACGAATATGTGTACATGTACAAGTATCTAAGAAGTTTTTAAATTCTTATTAGATTTAGATTGTTTCAAGATTCATACAAATGATTGATTTGAGTTTGGTTATACAGTTAATAGATTGTTCCATTATCATGATTATAGGTACGCAAATAATGAACATTTTTTCAGAGGACAAGTTTGTAAATTACTAAAAATAGTGTGTGGAATAAAAAGTTGCATGTATTAAAGTTACCATTTATAACCCATTTTGATTTGCAGAGGAATCTGATGAAGAAGATGATGCAGCGCCAAGAAAGCGAAGACGAGCTGAACGGGCTGCAGAGGGAGAGGTTGAGGATGAAGAGGTATGATACAGTAATATCAGCTCATGAAACAGAGTTATGTACCGTCTATCCAATTTTTTAAAGATTGTAGCATTTTAAATCTAAAGCAATTTGAAATTGATGGAATAAATAAGGTTAATTTTGAAGGGAAAGAGAAGCATAAATTATTATGTACAGTAAATGACTGAATTCTTCTTTCAAATATCAGGCTGAATATCTAAGGGAAAAAGTCATTTGCAGTATTGAAGTGAAGTTCACAAATCACTTTTTATATGTGTTGTAGATGATAGAGAGTATCGAGAATCTAGAAGACATGAAAGGTCACTCGGTGAGGGAATGGGTATCCATGTTAGGACCGAAGACCGAAATAAAAAACAGATTCAAAAACTTCTTAAGGACATATGTAGATTCCAAGGGCCATAATGTTTACCGAGAAAAGATTAGACAAATGGTGGAAGGTAAGGGATGCATTTATTACAAAATTGGTAGGATTGTAGTTAAATCACATTTGTCATTTATGATTTTTTATTAGACTCGATTAGATTTACTACCTAGAATGCAAATTGGCAAAATTCAAGGGCGTGTTCCATGGACAGAAAAGATTCTCTCTTGTTCAGGTAGAAAATACATGATAGAACCTAAATTTAATTTTCAGCAAACAAAGAGAGTCTGGTGATAGATTACAACATGTTGGCTTCGGTAGAACAGGTCCTGGCTTATTTCTTACCTGAGGCACCTGCTGAAATGTTACTGAATTTTGACGAGGTACTGCCCATTTATTAAGTTTGATTAATTTATCTTTTAATAAAAATCTGTAATTTAATAATCTGTCGAAATTGTGTGGCTCCAATAAAAATATTATTTAAGAATTTGTATGGCTGAACATTTCCTTATGTGATGCTTCTTTTTTTTGAAAATTACTGTGATTTTATTCTAGATACGTCATTGTTTAATTTTAGGCTGCCAAAGAGGTGGTTTTAAACATGTACCCGAAGTATGAGAACATAGCCAAAGAAATTCATGTCAGAATTGCAGAATTACCCTTAATTGAAGAACTGAGATCATTAAGGTGACAATAAACATAAAGCAGTTGTTTTCACTTTTGTTATCTATTCATGTTTCTTTACTTACAGCTTCATGTATGTTTGATGTTTCTAATGTTGTCCTCAGGAGCATAATATGTATTTGAAAATCTGTAGATATATCTTGGTTCAAATGTTCGTATTTGAGATAATTAATATATGTAGGTTTGATGGAGTAAACAAGTTGAAAAGGTTATGAAAATAAATATTATTCTTTCATCTTGCAGACAACTTCACCTGAATCAGCTGATAAGAACCAGTGGTGTAGTCACCAGTAGCACAGGGGTCCTACCCCAGCTGAGTGTCATCAAATACGACTGTAACAAATGTAACTACATTCTGGGTCCATTCTACCAGTCACAGAACCAGGAGGTCAAACCAGGGTCATGTCCTGAGTGTCAGTCCACAGGACCATTTGAAATCAACATGGAACAGGTATGGAATGTAGATGAAAACTGTTCTGAAGCACATTTATGGTATCTTATATGTACATTTTGCAGAATGGCTTTTGTGCACGTGTAGAAAAGAGAGAGTAGAAAAGAGGAGAATTTTTCCACATTTCCATATAAATCTTAAGTTTCAATTGATACATTTGAATTTCTGATTTATTTATTTGCCATTTAGACGACTTGCCTGTATTGAGGGTTACAATTTTAACAGCTGCTATGGTGTAATTCATATGCATTAAGTTAATTCCAACAAAAGTATTAAAGATTTTAAGGATCCCACGATTTCAATATTTCAGACTGTGTACAAGAATTACCAGAGAATGACCATTCAGGAGAGCCCGGGTACTGTACCAGCTGGACGACTACCCAGATCTAAGGATGCTATTCTACTTGATGATTTGGTGGATATGTGTAAACCAGGGGATGAGATTGTAAGACTTGAATGAATGGGGAATAAAAGACTTTCAAATAATACATCAATAGTGAACATGCAAACATATAAAAAAAATTGGTAAAAATTGTTTTTTTTAAAGATTTAGTTTAGTTCATAACTTAAAAGATCACCCTAGTTTTGTGGCCTTGCAGGAGTGAAGAGAAAAATATATTCATTTATGAGGAATGGTGTATTTTGAGAAAGTTAGAGACATTTTTCATTTATTCTGCATTCTTCCAGGAATTGACAGGAATCTACCACAATAACTATGATGGGTCTCTGAACACAGCTAATGGATTTCCGGTGTTTGCCACTGTGATTCAGGCTAACTACATCACAAAGAAAGATGATAAGTTAGCTGTCAGTGCTCTAACTGACGAGGACATCAAAGCCATTGTACAGCTGTCTAAAGATGAGAGAATTGGAGAAAGGGTACTTTATCTTTTAAACTTTATCTAATTCTGAAATCATCAAATAGTGGAGGAAATGTGAAAATTTAGTATTCAAAGATATTTTACCTCTTCCTGATATTTTTCTGAACAGATTTTTGCCAGTATGGCTCCATCTATCTATGGACATGAAGACATCAAAAGAGCAGTGGCCCTAGCAATATTTGGTGGTGAACCCAAAAATCCTGGAGGCAAACACAAAGTGAGAGGGGACATCAATGTATTGATCTGTGGAGACCCAGGTACTGCCAAATCACAGTTCTTGAAGTATGTAGAGAAAACTGGACCTCGTGTGGTGTTTACGACAGGTCAGGGAGCCTCCGCAGTGGGTCTGACGGCGTACGTGCAAAGAAACCCAGTGTCAAAGGAGTGGACCTTGGAGGCAGGTGCCCTAGTACTGGCAGATAAAGGAATGTGTCTCATTGATGAATTTGACAAGGTATGGGGGAAATAATCCAATATTGATATGAATGACCTGTAGATAGAAAGAAAAATATGAGTTTATTTGCATTTCTATGACACATGAAGTAAGAAAAATGCTTTCAGTCTATATTTCACAACGGTCAAAAATTTTCTCATACAGTGCGGACTCGTTATTACGGTAACGGTTTTATAAGATAGAACGCTTATTACGTTGTAAATTCAAGGCACAAAACCATTTCTTAACAAATCTGTACAAAATAGAACCATTTATTACGATGTCCTTATATGCCGGGACTCGGTATTACGATGTAAAAATTCTGTCCAAAATTTTTTTTCACTCCGTGTTTATTCAGTGTTGATCAACGGTAGACACTTAAGGAGACGCTAAATAAACATTGAAACACCTGTGCTCTGACAGAGTGTTAACTTGCAGGGCCGTTAGGTGATTAGTGACGCTTGACTGCACACACCTTGACTGTTCTAGCGAGGTCAGCAGAACTGGAGACGTGTCAAAGCCATTGTTAAACAATTAAATTTAAACTGTTTATTTATATACATAGTCTCTAGTTTATCTATGTCTGTAAAGTTTATTTTATCTTTTATACTTTGGTTAATAAATAAAATTAATTTATTAAATAAAAGGTTATAATTGATCTTGTGCATGTATGTTAAACACGTGTAATTTCGTTTGCAATTAAATTGCGGTAATGGACAGCTTGGGTATCAAACATAATTTTGGCCAAATTTGAACTTCACTTACGTTTTAACAGCTTTGATTGTGGCTTGGACTACCTCACAGGTGTCAGCAGAAATACAAATCGATAATTGCTGAACTGCTAATTGAACTCTGTTCAGTAATTTAAAAAATTAAATTTATTTTGACATATAGCTTGTACGTTGTCAAATTCCGTCCTTAAATATGCCAGTCACACTCTTTCATCAGTTGTTCACTGCTGCTCTAAGCTCATTGAACACCCAAAAGCTCACTAAAAATTGTTGTTGTTATGTAGTAAACGACTATAAATTGAATACGATGACGGCTTGTTGAATTTTTTACGAACGCATTATCTACAGAGTCAGAAACGAAAGTAAAAGTAAGGAAATAGCCGTAGATAAATGAAGATCCAATAGATCGCCGAAGTTTTTATAAGAAATATACGTATTTCTTTTAAAATGAAAGAAATAGAAGAAATATCACCATGAAGATATCTATTCAAGATAAGTTGTTAATAAATTATATATGTATTAGCGTTTTGATTAGGAATTAGAACAGAAGAAGGGAACAAAAGGGCAAAAATACACCTTCCACAAAAATAAACTTTCAAAACGATGTTTTAATGGATTTTATTGGGAACTTTTATTACGTTGCCCTCGGTATTACGATATATTCCCGTGATAAAATGAACATCGTAATAACGAGACCGCACTGTACCATCATGGTATTTTGCATACAAATAAAGTAGGAAATGAAGATTGTAGTATGAAGATAATGTCATTCTTACATTATGATAGATGAATGATGCAGATAGGACCAGTATACATGAGGCTATGGAGCAACAGAGCATATCAATCTCTAAGGCTGGTATAGTTACCTCCCTACAGGCCAGATGTGCTGTCTTGGCTGCTGCTAATCCCATCGGGGGCAGATACGACCCCTCCCTGACCTTCTCAGAAAACGTAAGTTTTGTTCCTCTCTGGCATAAGAAAATGCAGGTTTGGTTTGAGAATCCAAAAGGTTGAACTGGGTATTGCTCATAAAATTGCTGATATTCAGTAATGCAATTTTTAACATTATGTCTTAAAATTTTTGGATCTTAGCTTAAGAGGAAAAAGTTACGACAACATATGAAACTTGTGTCAGTATATGAGTCAGAATAGGTAAAATGAACTTGTTACAGAAAACATTAATTGATGTTAAAAAATTTTTTTGTGTCATTGCAGGTTGACTTGACAGAACCTATTTTGTCCAGATTTGATATTCTCTGTGTTGTTAGAGATACAGTGGACCCTGTTACAGTAAGTGTATGATTTATGATTCTGCTGTCTGAATATTTACACAATTTCTAGCTCATTTTAAATCGGGGTGCAACGATACACCAACCTCACGATACGATACGTATCACGGTATTCAGTTCACAATACAATACATATCACGATACATGACAAGGTAAAGAAGTCTTTCAAGTTTGTCATCACATTTTTTAAAACTCGACAGGGTTATATCAAATGTTCATTTTTTTTGATAATTAAAATATCAATTTGTTAACTTTATTTGGATTGATAGGTAGATCTTTGAGTTGTAATAATATTCTAAACCAATGAAGAACATTTACATGGAACTACTTTAGCCTGGATTCAGAGTTCAGATATGACTTATTAATGGAAAGGGGGCTTTTCCTCATAATCTTCCTTTTAAATTAGAATGAAAAAGGAAGACATTCATTCTTTTATTCCTTTTATTTACGTAGAAAACCAGTTGTCATATTTCTCGTGTTATCACGTTCTAGTCCACAAGTTGGAAATACATGTTTGATGAGATACCGTGTATTACCATAGAATACTTTTAAATCTAAAGGGTTTATCACTTCTCTTAACATCTATAACTTTTAATCACTTTAGGAATGAGATGAAGTCCTTCAACCCTGTTAAATCTGAGGTCTGTAAGATGCTGGAAATGAGTTTAATTGTCGTTACTGCGTTATTGTTGACATGTTTTGCGCGGAAGCCATTTTGAAATTGTAAACGAGGAAACAAAACGGACGATTCGGATAATTCTGGAACTGAACCGTGATATCAGTTTAGCATATCATGAATTGATCCATGGAAAAATATACTGCGATATACTGTCAAATGGTTTATCGTTGCCCTCTTAATTTTAAACAAAAAACGTTGTGTATTGCATGTAGCTGAAAAACATCAATTGTCTCTTGACAGAGTTTTAAAATGTGACAATAAAGCCCTTTTAAACTTACATTTACCTTCCTAAATCCTTTGGAATATAAATTTCTATGTACGTGTTTTGTAGGATGAGAGACTAGCAAGATTTGTCACAGGAAGTCACATGAAGCACCACCCTAATGCTGCAGACACACAAACTGAAGAAGATCTGGTAAGATATGAACAGTTGACTCAATTTCATGAATTTAGTGCTTTTTTAGCTCACCTGAGCCAAAGGCTCAAGTGAGCTTTTCTGATCAAAATTTGTCCGTTGTCTGTGGCGTCGTTGTTGTCGTAAACTTTTCACATTTTCATCTTCTTCTCCAGAACTACTGGGCCAATTTCAATCAAACTTGGCACAAAGTATCCTTGGGTAAAGGGGATTCAAGTTTGTTCAAATGAAGGGCCACTCCCTCCTCAAAGGGGAGATAATTACGAAATAGCAAAAAATTAATGGCATTATTGAAAAATCTTCTTCTCAAGAACCAATGGGCCAGGAAAGATGAAACTCATATGGAATTATTGTCAGGTAGTGTAGATTCAAGTTTGTTCAAATCATGACCCCGGGGGGTAGGGTGGGGCCACAATGGACGATCAAAGTTTTACATAGGAATATATAGGAAAAATCTTCAAAAATCTTCTTCTCAAGAACAGCAAAGCTATGATTGGTCATATTTATATGGAAGCATCCTCATGTGGTGTAGATTCAAGTTTGTTCAAATCATGACCCCCGGGGGTAGCATGGGGCCACAATGGACGATCAAAGTTTTACATAGGAATATATAGGAAAAATCTTCAAAAATCTTCTTCTCAAGAACAGCAAAGCCATGATTGGTCAAATTTATATGGAAGCATCTGCAGGTGGTGTAGATTCAAATTTGTTCCAATTGTGACCCCTGGGGGTAGGGTGGGGCCACAATGGACAATCAAAGTTTTCATGGAGTATATAGGAAAAATCTTCAAAAATCTTCTTCTCAAGAACAGCAAAGCTATGATTTGTCATATTTATTTGGAAGCATCCTGAGGTGGAATTGATTCAAGTTTATTCAAGTCATGACCCCCAGGGGTAGGGTGGGGCCACAATGGACGATCAAAGTTTTACATAGGAATATATAGGAAAAATCTTCTCAAGAACAGCAAAGCAATGATTGGTCATATTTATATTGGAAGCATCCTCAGGTGGTGTAGATTCAAGTTTGTTCAAATCATGACCCCCAGGGTAAGGGTGTTGCCACAATGGACGATCAAAGTTTAACATAGGTGTACATAGGAAAAATCTTCAAAAATCTTCTTCTCAAGAACAGCAAAGCTTTGATTGGATATATTTTTTTGAAAGCATCCTCAGGTAGTGTAGATTCAAGTTTGTTCAAATCATGACCCCTGGGGGTAGGGTGGGGCCACAATGAACGTTCAAAGTTTTACATAGGAATATATAAGAAAAACCTTTAAAAATCTCAAGAACAGCAAAGCCACGGTTTGTAATATTTATATGGAAGCATCCTCAGATAGTGTAGATTCAACTTTGTTCAAATCATGACCTCCAGGGGTAGGGTGGGGCCACAATGAAAGTTCAAACTTGTAGAGAAAAAAGTCACAGTTAGTCAAAAAATTATGTAAGCAGTGTAGATTTAATTTTGGTTGATTTAATTAAGTCATACCCCCCCCCCCTCCCCCCACTCCCTTTTAGGGGTAGGTTGGGACCATTTATGCATTTAAGCTTTTCAATACTAAACTGATTTTTCCTTTTTTCCTAACCACAGTGCTCAGGTGAGCGATGTGGCCCCTGGGCCTCTTGTTCAAGATTGTAGTGGTTTAGCTACCCAATAAATGTTGTGTATCTAGCTGTTGAGAATGGAATGCTAACCTAGCATCTACATTGTATGTGTCAGATTTTGAAAACAGATAATGTCTGGGTAGTAATTAATTTCCTGAATGAGGTTAGGTGAAGGCAAGCAAAAATGTTTATATATACCGTATATACTATAAGTAGGTATTTTGGGAGTTGAATTTTTGTTCAAAACTCTGTTCGACTTGTAGACGAGTCATAAGAAGTTAATATTTTTCTGGATGGCGAAATGTGGTATTTTTCAAATGTTTACGACGATTACCTGTAATCTGTTGAAAAATAAAGGTTAATTAATGATTTCATATCCAAAAATATTATTTGAACACAGGTAAATACATTAGAGTATTAATATAAAATTAATTTTCTGAGATAAAAAAGATTAAATATGGCATCATTTCTCAAAATATTATTTGAAACACTGGTTAAACAATAGAGCATTAATTTGAAATTGTCATCCAATTCTTCCAAAACAATCGTACCGACTTGTAAGTGGGTCAGTGGCAAATCCCTGAAAAAATAACCTGAAAAAATCCAACCGACTTCTGGGTGGACCGACTGATATGCAAGTATATACTGTAATTAAATTAATTCCCTTACATGGTAAAATAATGCAAATATATCATTTGATGTGAAGCATTACTTAAGTATAGTCTCAGTACCTTGCAATAAAATATTTTTGCTAGCCTTTTCTACATAGCAGATAAGTTAGCATGTCATTCAAAGTCATAACATAGCCACTTCAATCTTGAACCTACTAGGGATCTTGTACTTTGTGATGTAAGTATGTAATTGTATGGCCGATTTATTATGTCAGGGTGAACATTTCGTTTTACTGTGGAGGCTGATACTGGATGAACAGTATTTTTGATTCCCGGTTTTAAATTTTAACATGTTATTCATTTATATACAGAATCATTGAAAATGTACATCCTTTACAAAGCCCACATGTACCTCGTATTCCAGATGAATAAAAAAAATGGCTGGTATATTCCCGAAGTCTACAGCATATTTTACTAGTACTTGATTTAGTTGTGTTGACAATACTTACTGGAATGCATTTTGATCTTTCTTCAGCACTCCCTGAACACCACATCTTCCATTGAGCCCGTGCCCCAGGAATTGTTAAAGAAGTACATTGTGTACTGCAAGAACAAGGTCCACCCCAAGCTCCACCAGATGGACCAGGATAGAGTGGCCAAGATGTATGCAGAACTCAGGAGGGAGTCCATGGTAGGTATCAGAAAGAGTATAATGAATGGGTAAAAAAAAACATGCTGCTCAATGATAAATGTACCAACATAATCATTGTGCTTTAATACGTGTTTGCTGAATTAAAATATGGACAACCAAAACAGAATTAATACATGGACTGATAAAGCTTTATACATATAGCACATAAATTTCAATTTAGAGGATTCAGATTGCAAAATCCTGTTGCCATGAGGCAGTACAGTTGTCCTTGCAGCATTTTTTTCTGAGACAGATGTAGATCTTCGATATTTAAGTTCAAAGGATATGGTGAAATTTTAAATAGTAAAGATATTTTATTGTCTTTGCAGTCTACAGGAAGTATTCCTATCACAGTAAGACACATTGAGTCCATGATCAGAATGGCTGAAGCTCATGCCAAGATGCACCTGAGAGATTATGTGAATGAGGACGATGTCAATATGGCAATCCGTATCATGTTGGAGAGCTTTATCAGCACTCAGAAATTCAGTGTAACCAGATCCATGAGAAAGGTAGGCTATACAATTCTAACTCTTGAGGGAGTGACTTTGAAATATGTGTTGTATTGATTAGGATTTAAGAAAGTTTTAACTTTCCTGATATCATTCTGATTTTCTGCTTTTAGCATTTTTTTTTTATGTTTTACCCTGCTCAAAGATAAAGAAAAATGTCAGAAATTTTTTTTTTTAATGTTGACAAGTTCATGCACTAATTTGCTAAAAAATGTACATCAATTACTAAGAAAATATTTCATTCTCTTCAAATTTTCACAAAGTTTCTTGATTAAAACACAAATTAGGAAAAGAAAAACATTATTCATTGCAGTGCACTTAAAACAAGGGTTTAGCCCTGCAGTAGACATACCGTATATGGTATTCCTTTCCACCATTAAACAGTAGTGTTTCTGTTTTAGACATTTGGTCGGTACCTTGCCTTCAGGAAGGACAACAATGAGTTACTACTGTTTATCCTGAAACAGTTGGCCCAGGATCAGATGACCTTCCAGAGAAACCGCTATGGCCTGGAGCAGGAACAGATTGAAATCTCCGAGAAAGACCTGGCAGATAAGGTATAGAAAACAAGATCTGAGTGTCTGGTATAAAGCTCTGGATGGATGCAGAATTTATTTTCTTCGGATGCAGAATTTATTTTCTTCAATTCGTTTCAATGCGTTGAAAAGCTCAATTTTCTATGCAAATTGTCAACTCTGATTTTCAATTAAGAACTGTAAATGTAATATTTTGATAGGAAAAAAGAAAAGGTTATTGAAAGCAGCTGTTTTCTTTTTCTCTTTTTCCAGGCAAGACAGATCAACATTTCAAACTTGGCTTCTTTTTACGAGAGTGATATCTTCAGGGCAAACCATTTCAGTCATGACAGGAAACGGAAAGTCATCGTCCAGTGTATCTGAGGAAGAAAGGGAGAAAGTTTACAAACTGAAAAATTCTGTTGATGTCAAGTGTTGACCAAGTGCATAACAACCAATGTTACCCATAGACAAACTTTAATGGCTGTGCAATAATATCCATGTATTTATGGATTGGATGTATACTATGGGACATGAAATAACTTATTGAATGTACATTGACTGTTGTAAATATTTGTGTAATTATTTTGGTCTCTTACACAGAATGTACAAATTATTGTTGAGGACTATCCAATTTGTTTTGCAAAACGATTGAATGAAATTATTAATGAGCATTAAATTTTTAGAAAGACAGCATGGATTTTGTATGTATTAAATTTTAAAAAAATTATGAGTGAAGAGAGGGATTATGAGCTATAATTAAAGGCCATGTCCAGAAATTCTATCTAGGAACGCTAAGCTTTGAAACTAGAGAAGTTAACCCCCCTCCCCCCCCCCCCCCCCCCCCCCATAAGTTTGTCGGAGATGTTATCGGGAAACATTTTGTAAATATTCAAGTTTGTGACTTTTACCTATAACAGACAAAATCAACAGCGGTTATGATACAGTTATTGGCAATATGGATCGAAGTAAATCTTGGAAAGTGGGAAACTGTACTTCCATTTATATATTGTATTCCACATGCACTTATTTCTGTAATGAAAGGATACCATTTGTATTCTGTGGGGTAAACTTTCATCGCAGAAACAAGTGCATGTGATGAATTCATGGCATTGTGGACACTGTGGTTTCCAGCTCATTTTTGATGAACAAATAAATGGGTTAACGCTAGATGGTACAATGTACAGGTACATGTAGGCGAACACGAGTTATCGTTCATAGTACGAGTTATCGTTCATTATGTAGTAGATCTATTCAAATAAATGTGACTCTTAAAAAAAAAAAGAAGAAAATTGACAGTGCAAGTTCTATGATTTCCAAACCATCTAGTCAGACTGTATACTTCATAAAGCAAACCAATTCTACATTATATTGGTATAGAAATTTCAGTCATTGCTATCGAGCATAGCAGGGAGTAGTCCGAGGGACCATTTTAAACGGAAACTTTGGGAAATGCATTCGAATCATTGATCGTGCATAGTTTGAAAGCCGAGGTATTTATATATTCTTACATAGAAGTTGGTACTACAAGACAAATACAATAAAACACAGCTATAGCGAATACGCTTATAGCAAACGCATTTATAAGGAATTCACGCTTAAAGATAAATTATTTTTATTTCCTGTGGTTTTAAAACTTATTATTAACTTACTTGTATAAACAAATGTAACGAACTACATTGTATATTTATAATAAATGAAAATTGTTTGCCCCTGGCACTTTGTTATATACGAGCATGTTTTACCGTATCACTTTTATTGGATGACATTGCCAGTGGCGGATCGATGATTCTTGAAAAGGGGGGGGGGGGCAGTTTGTGGTCTGGGTGGGGTTCTAGGGGGCGAGGTCCCCGGAAGCTCTTAGGTTTTGGGGGTTTTATGGAACAGTTTTTAGACTTATTTTAGCTATACTTCATGTAAAATTAATGCAATATCCCCCAATCTTTAATCTTGTGTATATTTTTGGTCACTGAATCCGCTACATGTAACAATTCTTATCCCATTTGTCTGGTAAATTTTTAATTCTCTTTGATTCAAAAAATACCTGCTAGATCTGAAAAATAATGCCATATTCCCTTTCCCTTTGTCCAATTGTCATGTTGTAAGTTTTGTATCAACATGTTGTAAATTTTGCATTTACATGTACCTTCAACTAGTAAATTCAAAATTTACATGATACGGTCTAGATCATACTTCATCCATGCAAAGAGTGCTCGTGAGAAGAATGAGGGACATTGAGCTAAGTTCCTGAGTCAAAGGTTAAGGTCAAAGCAGAACTCGATTGTTAGACCATTATTTACACACTGAATTGTCGACGGATTTTTCCGTTATTTCCCGATCATGACAAGGAGCACAAGGCGGGTGTGACCGGTCGGCAGGGGATGCTAACTCCTCCATGGCACCTGATCCCACCTCTGATGTTTTGGAGGTCCGTGTTTGCTCTGCTCCTATTTTGTATTGTTTAATGAACTTTTGAGCTTGAATACTGTTCGTTATCTCCATATATTTCATGCAGAAAGGCCAGAATTCAAGATCAAAAAAGACCTTTGTGTTAAATCATTGTTGTCAGTATGTGAGCAAATTTTTCACTCTCCTTGCATGGTTTCATCTGGCTCATTCTTAAATTAAAGAGTAAATTAAAGGGTAAAGATGTAAGTCAAAGGTCAACGTAAAAGCAGATCTCAGTGTAAAGTCCTAGTTGTGAGCGTATTTTCTCTCCCCTTTGTCTAATCTGGAGCATGGCCGTAGGAACCGGGGGGGGGGGGGCACGGGGGGGCGTGCCCCCCCCCCCCCAATAATTTTGCGGATATCTAGATTACTTTAGAAAAAATAGCTGCTATGCTTGTGCCCCCTCATTAAAAACGTCTTATGACTTTTCTTTTTGCTTGTCAAGAATTTTTTGGTAGTTGAAAGTGATGTATGGCTGTGCCCCCCCCCCCTTCAAAAAAAAAAAAAAAAAACTGAAATTACTTTCTACGGCCTGTGAATCATACGTCAACCAATGAAAGAGTGCTCATGAGTGAGTCTCTGCAGTGACCTTGACCTAAGTCAAAGGTTAACTAAGGTCAAACAGAACTCTGTATACCTTAAATCAGTTTATTACTGAATTGTCTAAAATTCATACATTATACTGATACATATTGTCCAGAAACCAAGATTTACTTTCTATTTTTCAATCCTCTGGTAATTTATACCCCCCACCCCCCTTCCGAAAAATATTATCCTTTTCTTATCGGTTATAATAAAAGTCAGGACTACACAAAATGATATAAATGTTTTTTCAGACAGTCTGTACGGTAATATGGTTTGAAATGAAATAGATTTAGGGAAACAATACCTCATTCGGACTTTTGTACGTGAAAATAAGGCCATTTTGCTTTTGAACTTCATCAAGATGAGATCTGAATGATAGTATTTTGAGATGTGACTGATTTCATTTGAAATACTGAAAGATGAATACAATACCTTTAATTCTGTGTATTTGTGCTGTGTATTTCCTGTGTATTTCAATGTAACAAACGATTGAAATGCTGTAATTTCGTGTTCAAAAGGGAGTTTACTTATTCTAGTTTGTTTATTTCTTTGTCCCTTTTTTCTCTTTATTATATATATTTAAAAACACAAAAAAAGTTGCACAAGACTTCATTTTTGGTACAAATGTACAATAGCGGTATGCCCAGGAGTGTGACTTGACCTTGATTCCAATTCGTTTGGATATAGACACAAAATTGGTAGCGTGATTTGTTTGTTCGTTTTTGTTTGTTTTTTTTACGGTCCATAGCTTTGTAAGAACGAAAATATGAAGCTAAAACTTTTCAAATGAGTAAGTTATCCTCAAAATATGTGTCTTGGTCTAATATAACGTCAACTAGACAATGTCAAAGCAAACAGAATTTGAAACATCTTCATTTCTTGCCCTGTTCACAACGTCTTCAGAGAAATTAACTTAAGCGTTATATAAGATCTACAATGTATATAAATTTTTATATTACATATAACTTTAAAAGCTCAATATCGGCAAATGATGGGTTAATTATTACGTTCATTTTGATAGAGAAATTAACAAATTTGTCCCTAATACAAAAGGGTCACACCTAAAGCATGCGTGTCAGAGACACAAGATTATGTAGTGCATTTGATACCTTGCTCACATAGTAAACTATCATATGTGATACCTTTAACGATAAATTTTGTTATTTTTTTTTACGTGCTATTGTGTGCAAGAATACGTATCTTATAAATTTATGTGAATAATAGTGAAACTATTTTCAAAGTAAAAGTATGCATTTCATGAGATAAACTATAAATACTTGTACGATTTGTGTAAAATCCCATTTCTTCGTAACCATACGAAACGAAACATTAAAAAAAAAAAAAAAAAAAAAAAAAAAAAAAAAAAAAAAAAAAAAAAAAACTAAGAAAAAATCCCCAGGAACCTGATTTATGATTATCATTCATGTTATAGATAAATCATACAGAGTTCATATGAAACGATTTCTTTTGTTTATATTACACATGCATTTTATTTGAAATTATATTTAGTCAGTTTTTGAGCACCAGATACACAAATAATTAGACTTTTTGAAAGCCTTTTTAAGATCATATCGGTGTATTTGAAACTTAAAGCCAATGCAGTTTGAATCTTATCTCATTTTTTGCAAAATTTCAAGGTTAAATAGTAATTTTTAAAACCAGTACAAATCTGCAAAATGGTCACATTACAGGTGCGGAACCAGGTTTTTTTTTCGGTGGATTTCACATCAACTGTAACATATCTCAAACTCAAAAAAAATTGACAAGGGGAGAAAACTAATCAACTTCCCCAAACCTGAAATACCTCTTGGGGGAAAGTAAGAGAAGACACTTTCTTCCCTAGTCAATTTCCTTCAGATACATGTACATGACCCTGCTTACCAATTTAAGAAGAATTCGTGTTTCTTATGGGGTATTTTTTTTCGTTACTTTCACAGAGAATTTTTAACTCTGAAAATCCCAAGAGAGGAAGGGGGGGGGGGGGACTAGGCCTGAAAATCGACAGCTTGGAATAATATGTATGTTGAAAAATCGACTGCTTGAGACATACAGTATTGAAAATATTAAATTGACAGTTTGAAAAATATTTCTGCCAAATTCATATACACATGAGATGTCTTGAAGCTTATCGCTGCAAAACACAAGTTGAATACGATTAACAACTCAAAAAAGATAAAGAAATCAAGTTATAAAAACGGGGAAAAAATTAATAAATACATGTAACAATGATATGCACTTGATCCACAAAGATTAAAAAGTTTTTAGGTTGTAGTCTAATTTCTACCACAGATCGTCGTGAGAACCATTATGTCTTGTAAGGGAATTTCCCTCAGAACTTTGTTTACATGTCATTCATTAAAAAGTGAACTTTGTTACCAGATCATTTCTTAAAAATTCATGAGGCTTATTTTTGATCCGATTTATCCAAACATGAAACTATTGATTTTGGTTACAGTAATGCAGTACGGGGGTTTCCAAAGTCGGGATTCTTTTCAAAATCCATATTTGAAAGAATTCACTATTCAATTATTCACTTTGGCGATATAGTTTAAAATAGAAATGATTAAAGTACCCTTACTAATAAACTTCCTCTAATGAGGAGGAATGTAATGGAAATACTCCATTTGATCAATGAAAATATGTTGCGTCTTTAGTATTTG